CATTCCCTCCTCCCTTGGCAAGTTATTTTCCATCTCTGTTGGTCATTCGTTAGGCAACGAGCGCGTAGAAAGCAATGGGCAAAAAGACGTCGAGCCGACGGGATCGACGATGTTTTCATTGTAATTATGTCCCCTGTCCCTCCTCACTGGTCTCGTGGCCGAGCTTTTTACGGCCCTGCTACTAAGCAGCCTGTCAAAGCGTCCTAATTTTTGTTCCTCGGCTTCTCTACGACCCCATTTCAATTCATCGTGAATTTCGAAATGAAATTGGCCTATTTCTTGAAATGAAAGTATCTGGTCGCTTTGGTTTTTTTTTTGGTTTTTGCGGTTTTAACAAAATTTATGGAAATTGTGATTTTAATTCAACTTTCTTTAACTTTCTTTCGTTGTTTTAACTTTCTATGAATATAAAATAAATTATGCTCGATTATGCTCTGATTATATGGATCGTAAATGTTTCGACGTCATCTATAAAAAGAAATCAGAGATTTAAAAAGAGAGTTTTTTTTAAAAATTTGGAATATTCGGAATTTAAAAACGATATCATTAAATGAAAATTTGAAAATCTTAAGATTAAGAAAATTTGAATTTTCCTTAATTTAATTAAGAATATATTATTAACATTTCTCAGAAAATTTTAAATTTCTAAAAATTTCAAAATAAGTTTATTTTTAAGAAATGTGCATTTTTGAAACTTTTGAAAAAAAAATCTTTGAAATTTGGAATTTATAATTATAATATAGAGATAATTTTTAAATAAACCAATGAATTTGAAATAAAAATAAAAAGGGAACTTAAATCAAAATTAATTTTACAAATCTTTATCGTGATTAAAGAATTCACCGTTTTCAAGATAATATCTCAATATTCAGAGAGAAACGAGACGGGTGAAGAAGTGTTTTCATAATTTTTCGGTGGCGACACATCGCGTATTGTATAACAAACCTGTTAACACGGGGCGGCCGCGTAAAGCAGGTAACGAGTAGGCAGTAATCGAGATCCGTGGACTCTAAGTAAAGTCAAACAGTCGTGTCGGTTGTCTTTGCTCAGCAAACTCGCGCCAGTGTGGAGCCAATATTTAGACAGGGACCGGCTCAAACATCGTAATACGCGTTAAAACGTTATGACACGCGCCAATTGCTGTCTCTATTTCCCGTGGCTCCATCTTTGTGCCTGTTGCTTTTAACGCCATGCCATTTTATTATTCCTCGTAACACAGTGAAAACAAATACGATAAGCAATTAACGAGGAACAAGATAAATCTGAAGATATAATTTCTTCTTTCTTTTTTAGATTGTAATCCATTTCTTTCGTATTTCTTCATTATTTTCCTCGCGATTCATTTCGTGTTTAAATTGTCATTTCTCTTCTATTGCCAACATTTATTCCATTTGATGATTTATCTTCTGACAACTTTTTTTTTCCACGTTTCGTTGCTGTTTCCATTTTTTCACATATTCAAATCTTCCACATTATATTCTTTCCTTATATTTTCATTTGTCTGTCTAAATATCTATTTTTTTTCGAATTTTTTCGAAATTTTCTATAGAATCCTAATTCTTATTATAGAATATTAATTGAATTCTTTTAACAGGTTAAATACCGAATCCTTTATGTCGCTAAAACTTAATTAATTAATCGAATAAATATGAAATTGATGAAGATACTTTGGAAAATATTTAAGAATATGCAATGAATGGAAACCGGAAATCATTGACTTGAGCTACTGAATTTCAGTTCATTAATTTTCTCATGATATAATGAACGTCCCCATAAAATCGTTCCTGTTGACACGAGGAGTAGAAACGCGTCTAGTTACTGAACCATACGTTCCCTGGATAAAAATTTATGACTGAAAAGAAGGGTGGACGTAAATATCAGGAATTTCTCTTGGAACACGTACTGGAATGCAGGAAACAGTCAAACAAGCTAATTTAAAGGCAGATGGTAAAATACCGATCCGTGATTTTAATGAACTTCTCTGACTTCTACGATCCCTTTATAAACGTTTTCACTTCAGAGTTTAAGATTGCGTTCTGTTTATCAAATGTTCATAAAAGTTACAATTTCTGAGAGATACAAGACATCAATTAAATATTTATATCTTACAAAATTGTTAAAAGAAATATTTTCTTCAAAAAAAAAAAAAAAAAGAATTCTTCAATTTATATACAATTAAATCTCTTCTAAAAATTAAATTAATATATTGATGTACATAATATTTAACAGGAAAAAAAAAATAAGAAAATACGATCTTCTTCAAATAATAATAAAATATTAATTTTTCCAATAATTTTCAAATTTTAGCAAAATTATAATAGCAAAATTTACTCGTTCTCTCGAAAGTATCCAACTAAATACCAAAGAAATTCCACGAGTGTACGACCTTGGCAGTGAGTTACACGAAGGCTCTCGGTGGACACAAGGTCCTCTCAGCAAGTTTCCAATAAAGATCTCAGGCCACCTGACGGTCCTTTGTGAATCCTCGAAGAATCTCGGATCCTCGTAGAAAGAGAGAGGTGCTCGTAAAGAGGCACTAACGACTAAACTGTCGAGAGAGAATATCTTTGAAACTACGAGACACGCGCCATTTCCTGATGATTCGAGCGTGGCGAATGGTCGTCAGTCAAAACGCAAGCCGCTTTATTCTCGCGAGTTTCTGTATCCCCTTTGTCGTTTTTCACATCATGGATGAATAATAAAAACAGACTTCTTGGATCGCAATCGTGTAAAGATATTATCCCCTTGATTCTCGTCATATGACCGAATATGGAGAAATTTCTATTTTTATGCTTAATATTTAGTGGAAAGTATTCACGAAGATGAGAAATTATTTAAATTGTATTAAATGGACGAATAAAGAATTATTTTATTTCAGTTATTTTATTTTAATTCAGTAATTTGTTTAAGATAATGATCATAAGAATTTTTATTTTAATTAAAATTAATTTTTTTAGCCGTTTTTTTTACAATCTTTGATATTCATTTTTATATTCAATTTTTTTTAATATATACTCATCAAAACTTTATAAAAAGTTATAAAAGTTTTCGTCGTTGGAAAAAGATAGAAAGATACATTCGAAATTAGTATGTAATAGATTAGTATATAATTAGAACAAAATTGTTAATAAAATGCTTTATATACTTAGACAATAACATTTTTATAGTCAATTCGTCATCAGTAATTGGATGAAAATAAAATTGCACAAAAGGTGTACAAGAGAACCAACGATAATTTTCAAAGACAAACAGGGTCAATGGTATATGAGACACGCGTCATTTCCTGATATTTCATGCGTAACGAACGGTCCACGGTTTAGGATTGAAACTGTGGCGTGCTCTACTCGCAGTTCCTGGATTTATAAATGACTTCTTCTTATTCTTGATTTCTTGAGACACACCTTTGTCCAACCGAAAAAAAGGAAAAATTCGAATATAGATTTCAGGAACACGGTGGGAAACAAGCTCGGCCTTGCTAGAAGACACCTGTTCTTCTTTCTAGAAGATCCTGTTGACTAAGACAAAAATAGAATGTTTGACGAAGTGACATGCGCCATTTGTCGCGGCTTCGAGCGTGTCGTAATTTCATTCGTTAAACGAGCGTTTATTCTCTTTGTATTGTCCTTTCGGGATGATTAATCCCCTGGTTGAATTACGTCTCTGTTTCGAGAAAGCTTCTTTGCTTCTTTAACCGTTCATCAAAATGACAAACGTCGCTTTGAAGAAAGTTTAGTTTAGTTTTTCTTTGAAACAATTGGGATCTATTCTTTTTTGCAAATTTGAAAATTTAGATTATTTTTTTGAAGAATATGATATCCTTAATAAAATTTAACTTAAATATGATTTCTAATGAAATTCTCTACTTATTTTAATTTTTCGAGCTATAAATTTTTCTGCATAAATTGACTATAAATTTAATATAAGTTCAATCGATCAACTTTTCAATTCTCAATTTTAAATTATAATATTTATAATATTTATAAATATAATTATAATATTTATAAAGATATTTTTTAATCTTCTTTTTTATTTTATGTCTTTTAAATATAAAATAATGTAATGTATTGTAATTAACATATTATTTGAAATATATTAATTAATTTTTTTGCAGACCAAGATTGCTTAATATTGTAAACTTTGTTATCAATTTTGAATATAAAATGCCAATAAAATGAAACCTCGTATTGATGTAAGAAAAAAAAAATACATTATTAAGTAATAATTAATTTTAAAATTATAAATAAAATAATATTAGTAATCATATTATCATCAGTATTAAATATTCATATAGATACATGAACTGTATATTTTTTTAATCAAGAAATGAATATTTTAAAAAGTTTACACAAAATGTAGGTCTATTAAATAAAATGTATTGACATTTTAGAAAGAATCCTAAAAAAATTCTAAAATATCTTCTATTCTCAATAAAATTCCATTACATATTTATTGAAAATCATAGATTTTAAATTACATATATTTTTTAATATATCATTCTTAATATACTTTCTTATCGTTGATATTTTCTCATATCGTTTAATTCCAATTTCCAAACAAATGCAAACTGTATAATTACAAACTTTTTCTTTCACTACAGAAATTTATTTTCTACTAATTTAAAACTAAGAGTTACATCCAATTAAACAATTTTATTATTTTAAGATTTGTTCTAAAATAATGACCATAAAATAATATTATTCCATATAAGACAATTGAAATTCTTATCTCGAATAATTTTAAAATAACAATTCCAAATAATTAATAAAATTTCTACCCCAAACAATAGCAAAGATTTTACGACTTTTGAACGAGAATATTATCTCACAGATAGAATCTTTTTCTCTATAATTAGAAACATAGACACATACGATCATTTCTAAATCTAAAATTTCTTTTCATTCCAGATTGTCCAGCAGCACGACGGCGATCGGTAGTGCAGCCACCGGTGGCGGTGGCGGAGCGAGTAGCGGTGCGAGTGGTGGAGGTGGCGGTGGCAGTGGGGGCGGAGGTGGCGGGGCAGCCGGCAACGGGACTTCCGGCGGTGATTTCCTACGCAGAAGTCACCCCCTCTCGGAGCATACGGCCCTGCATCCCGCCTACCGGCTCAACTACATGGACCACCTTTACCACCAGCTTCAGGCCTCCACGCACAGTCCCAACGCCTCGTTACACGGTAATTACCTTGGCTTGTACTTGTTTCGAGATAATTAGAACGATAGGAGGCCGGGTACGTCGCCTAATTTCGATCACGTCCATGTCGGGAGCTTGAAATTTATTCGCCGTCGAACATTCTGGCTATCGACCAAGGGGTTTCTTATTGTTGAAATGCATTTTTATGACTTTTTTTTTTCTTGATATTTGTATATCTCTTATAATATCGTTTTAAATATAATTTTTCTCGAAATTAAATATTTCAAGCATAGTGTATTCATAGTTGTTATCTGGACTGGATCGACCAAGGGGTTTCTTATTGTTGAAATGCAGTTTTATGACTTTTTTTTTCTTGATATTTGTATATCTCTTATAATATCGTTTTAAATATAATTTTTCTCGAAATTAAATATTTCAAGCATAGTGTATTCATAATTGTTATCTGGAAAAAATTTGAAAATTTGTTTATTCAACTCTGGATAATTTGAATTTTTGAATTTGTTCTTCTGTTCTGATTGTAATTTACTATTATTATTGATTTAAAATAAACCTGATTTATGTATAAGATAAAAAAATGTAATCATAATTTATTAATCTAATATTATTATAGTAATCTTTCAATTATACTTGATTAATTAGTTTACAGGATTTACAATCCACTAGTTCTTATTTAATACTTAATTATTAAACTCAATAATTGTACTCATAATAAAAAGTATTAATGAAAATCTTTTATTTTGTAATACAATGTTCAACAATTAGATTAATTATATTTATAAATAAATAACAATAATAATTGGATATGTAAAAATATTTTTTTTAAAAAAATATAGAAATCTTTAGATGTAAGATATTTTGTCAAATAACTTTTCAAAAATAATTAAAACTAACAAAAAAAAAACTTTCACAAAATATAATCAAATTTACCTTAATTTGTAATTTGTAATTTTATAAACTTGAAAAACTCTTAAAGAATTTTTTCAAGATAATTTTAATAATCTAATTCTAAAAATATTAATTTTTTAATTTTTTAAATATTAGATACACATATAAATTATAGATAATAATTTAAACAATGTCATAATATTATTAGTAACCTATAATATTATGAATAGTTCAAATTTCAATTCGAATTTTGAAAAGTTCAATTTTTTTTTTATGAACATATTTGACAAAATTAAATTTGCATATTTATTGATCATACAATTTTCTTTGTATAAAAAATTTTTGAATCTAACGATATTCAATCTTTCTTCAATTTCACCCTTTCATCGTTGTTTTTCCCCCGATAAAGGTAATAATAGAAGCAGAGTATACCATCCCTGTTATTAAACGCGGAGAAGCTAAGGAAGCTAAGGAGCCCGCATTTCCGCCGGAAGAATCTCTTTGAGGTCTTTGAATTCGTTAGACATGGCCCACGATACGGGATAGTATTATTTCCTGTTTGAAATGAAATTTGTTCCCTCTAGTCTAATCGTTTTTTTTTTTTTTTTTTCTTTTCAGGACTGGGTGGTTTGGGGCCCGAGTACCTTTTGCACGCCGCAGGACCAGCGAGCACCCTCGCTTCTTCAGAATTCCCCTTTTCCATTGACGGTGAGTCCTCAATTTTATATTAATAAAAAAACATCACTATTAAAAAAAAAAAAAAAAAGTCCTCTAAATTATCTTCTATCAAAATCAAAATACGGTTCGTGAACGAGTTTAATACAATGTGACAAGATTGATAAAATCACTGACATTCGACACCGCATTTTTAGTCTTCAAGGATCAAAAATTTCTCTCAACGTGTTCAAGCTTGAAACTTTGGTCGCTTCTGTAAAGAACCTATAACTTTATGGTCCTCGAATGACCTGTTCTATAAAAAATTTTTCTGCTACATTAACTTTTCTAGTACCGTATAAAAAACATGTTCAAAATTCCATTTCAAGAATCGCAAAGAACTATAATAATAATATTGGATGAGATAATAATCTCGATTTTATAAATACCAGAAAAAGTTAGTTTACTATGTGTCCATATATTCAGTTTTTCATATAAATTTTGTGCAATTATAATGTTATATTTTTTTTTATATATTTTTTGAAACGTTTACAATATTTACATGAATATATAAATTTCAAAATTTCATTAAAAATAAACAGTTTAATGATATATTTAGTTACAATAATTATTTAAAAGATATAATAATTAATTTTTTGAAAAGTTATTATATTCATATATATTCTTTGAAATAATTGAAAATATAGATTGTTTTTTAATTACAATTATTTAATCGATATTAATTTTTAAATTAATTTATATAAGAACAGAATATTAATTCAAAAAATGAATTTATCATTTAATAGTAATATATAAATCTTTAAAATTCATTTTACCAAGCTCATTTTACCAAATCAATAATAAAGATAAACTTGAATATTGAATATTGAAGATATTCAAATATAAATAAATTTATAAAAAGAAAAAGTAAATTAACAATAAAATTAGTTTATTATTTTACAAATAATAATAATAAGTAAATAAGTTTCAATCTTCTTCAATTTTTTTCTCAAAATGTCCAATCCAATTATTTTCCTTCTACTTGCACTTACTTCTATCACACCTTATTACTCATAACTTTATTACTTTACACCTTAAGCAAAATAAAAAATTAGCCGTTATCTTTTTCTAACAATAAAAGATCTCGTGATGCCTGACGTTTAACAAAGAACAAGAGTCAAGGATAAGTTTAAGTTTTAAGTTTAAAATTCTCGAGCCGATTCGACGAACGAAACGAGAAACTTTTTCGCCGGCTGGTTCGAGGACGACAAGTGAATCTAATGAAAGATCCTGATGCACGGTACCCGCGGCTAGCCGTAGGTGTAGCAGCAGCTAGCAGCAGGTAGGAGATCGACCGGTTAAGAGGCCGAGAGGCTAAAAGACGACTGAAAGGGTAAACGGGGCCTCGTTAGTCGCCACCGCCGCATAATTGAATCGACTCGGAGCGACACGACCTCATTAACACCTTAGCGCCTACCCTACAGGTTGTCTCACGTTTCTTCTTCCTCTGTTTCCTTCTCCTTTCGTTTCTTTCGTCCTCTCTGCTCCCTTTTACCGATCCTTTTTCGTTGAAACCTCGTTCGTGACGAAATTACCGATTCGATTTATTTGAATATCGAGCTATCTGTACGAAAAGTGAAAATTTCTTTATATATGTTTTTTTTTTCTTCTATCGTTAAAAAATTTCTTATGGGATAATATATTCAGAAACAATATTTGAATATTGAAGTATCTGAACAGAATGAGAATATTTCTTTTTACAATACATTTTACAAACATTTTAGTGGATTGTAAAATTTGAGGACATGTGTTGTTCCTTTGTTTTAAATATAGAGTTAATATGTGAGAATTGTAATTATCGTTCGTTTAAATTTTATTTTTCTCGAATTATTAGAAGCCTCTTTTATTTGTTGAAACAAAAACATTTAATATAAATATTTTGTAATCGAGCAGTCATCGTAAAGCGAATAAAAATGATTAAAAATCTATTGTAAAATAAAAATTATATAAACATTCCATTCCATTACAAAAAATTTTTTAATTTCTATAATTTTTCCAATTTCTTTATCAAAATTAAATCAGCTCAATAGAGAAAAAGAGCTTTTAAATAAATTTTATCCCTTTAAATTCCAGTTAAAATTCCCACGATTCTGTATTTTGAAACGAGCTGTAGCGTGGTAGCGTGCGCCAAGCAGAGTCGGACGAGCCGCGTCGATCGTAGTGGCCGATTGCACCAATTTACATGTCTCAATCCCATGTTAGTCTCTCGAAAGGGGATCCGAGGAGCAAGGGGGTGGAACGCAAGGAACGTGTAGAGTCCAGAGGGTCGTGGGTCACGAGGACGTTCGTCTCGGGACGAGGGAATCGTTCGCATATTCATTAAAGATCGAGGTTCCTCCGACGAGCGCTAACCAACCCCCTGAAACAGATAAGGCGATCGGTTTATTCTTCGCCTCCGAGGAAAGAAAAATGCGTCGAGAAAGTATCCTTGCTCCGGAGCAATTGATTAATCCTCCGTGATATTCGATTTTTTTCCATACGTGTATATATATATATATATATTTATTTATTTATTTATTTTGTAAATAAATATGTAATGTATATATATATATATTTTATAAATATAATTTTTATAATATTTTATTCCGTTTTATTCTATTTTTAAAAGGAATTAATAAATAATTATTTCATCAGGGAATCGATTAATTGAAAAGTAATTATTTGAGAGAAATCGGGTGAGAGTTGACTATTACTTAAAGAATTTATTACTAAAGAAGTCTATTAATATTTTAATGCAGATATAAATTTATGTTATTTCATAAATAGCAAAAAGATATAAAATAACAGTAAAAATATTATTAGACGTTAGCGAAGATTTTTCCTTAATTTAATAGCTATTTAAAAGCATAATACTATAAAACAAATTTTATTATTATTCATATGAGGAACTGAGAATCGTAGTGGCATAAATCACATGGAACATATTTTGAGAATATTTATATTTAGAAATTGTTATTTAAGAAAAGAATTTCTTTCTTTGTATATTTTTACATTGTCCGATTTCACTATTGAGATTTCACTTTAATACGCAATTAGAGTATATTGAAATAATTTATATTCCATTTCATATCGCTTGGATACATTCTTATAATTCTCCATTGAGTAAAATGACGAAAAATCATGTTGAAATTAGCTTGTATTTGATCGAACATCGGATGAAAAGTAACTGGTCAATTTTAATAATAAATATTCGCGGAAAATTAATAAGACGTATATTTAATAAACCAAATCATACAACAAAGATAAAATGAACATCATCAAAGTTTCTATTGAAAATAATAAAAACCGCAAATGCCTAGCGGCTAACCGGTGCGCTGTAAGAACAAAATTCGCCATCGTCACGGAACGAAACCGAGAAGCCTCGAACGAAGAAGAAGAAGAAGAAGAAGAAGAAGAAGAAGGAACAGGTAATGGAGGGAACGAGGTCGAACGACCTCGATCCAGCCACGAGACCGTCCACGAGGAACCTTAAACGTTTCAGTTCATGTGGAAAAACCGCACGACAGGTCCCCTTCCTTTCTTTCCTCCTCCTCTTTCTTCTCCTCTTCCTCTTCTTGATCATCGTAAATTTGATCAGTGCTCGAATTAATAACCGGGCCAGGGAATAAAAGGGCGCAAGAGAGGCGAGGAGCCCCAACCGCGAGTAACTTTATACCAGTTGTGCGCGAACGAGCGATCAACCGAGTGGAAACCGAGGAGAAGGAGCTGCTTCGAGCCTCCTCGTGCCTCTCTGTATCGCGTTGCCCGTTCGAGACGACACGACGAGATAGAGAAGCCCGGGAAGGAACACGCGGAGGCAGTTGAAACGGAGAAGAGGCACGATGGGAGAAGAAGAGGAGGAGAGGAAGAATGCTACGAAAAGCAGAGAAATTTTAGTAAGAGAATAAGGAAAATTAGGGAAAATTCAAGGTAGAGAGCGATAGAATTGGCGAATAAAGAGAACGAGAGAGAGGAGGAAATGATACAAAGTGATGGAATTGTTGAAAATTATGAACATATAAACATTTTAGAAAGGTGATGATAAAAAAAAAGCATTCGTAGAAATTTAAATGAAGAATTCGAGATTTAAAAAATCATGATTTTCAAAATCAAACAATACGATTTCTTGTGAATTTTTCAATCGCTGATGGAATATAATATGAGAGAGCAAGATGTTCGTGTTAAATTTGAAAATAAACTTGAAACAAAAACGTAAAATAAAAAAAGGAAAAAACTATATAATTAGAAAAATAAGAAGGAAAGAAAATGCAACTCGATAAAAGAAGAGCTTGAGAAAACTACGAACAAGTTGCAAAGGCGATAAAACAACGGTGTAATTAAGAAAATTCCGATAAAAGTTAGAAAAAGGAGCAGGGATTGGCGATGCAAGAAAAAGCGGTGTATCGAAAGGAGAAGAAGAAGGAGAAAGAAAGCAGGCGAAGAACCGCCACCACCGTATAACCAAACGATGCCCCGTACAAGCGAGCCGCCACCACGAGCTTAAGAAAGTGGTTTGTATATTACGTCGTTGGCCTGCGGTCGCAGGCAAATCGCCGCTAAAACGTTCTGGCCGCAGAATCAGGCTTTCCTTCTCCCTCCGATATTCTCCTTTTCCATCCTTACCCGACTTCTCTCCTTCACCTTCTCTGGTCAGTTCTGGATATCTACCTGGTTACGAGCGCGCGCACCGAAAGGCAAGACAATTTTAAAATCCACGCCGGAGAATATTCCTCCGAGGTAGTACGAGCCGCAAGAATTCGTAGCGCTTAATTGAACTGGTTTTGCAACGTCTTGACGGTTCGCATGGAAATTCGCACCGGTGAATCCGCGTTACGAATCGATCCTTCGATGCCTTCTTATATCGATATTTCAACGTTGTTTGATTTTTTTTTTTTTTTTTTCATCTCCATATTTATGCTGTTGAGAAAGCGAGATTCCAGAGAGAGTAAGCTGGGAGAGACTTTAATGCCCGGCAATGATCCTGAATATGATCGTCGCATTTCTCGCGTAAAATATTTGCTGCTGCTATTTTTTTACTTTCATATATTTACGACATTGTATCATGGATATGTATTTTTTTTTATATATTATAAATAAATATATTATATATTATAATAATTTTAATTTTTATTTGGATTCGTTAAGCCGTGAATGATTCGTATTAATTTCAATAGTTGTAATATTATTTTGAAAAAGAATCGTAGAATCTTTAAAACGCAATGTTTCCATTTTCTTCCAAATCGATGATATTTTATTCGAAATAATGTATATACTTTTTTTTTAATGATATTTCCATTGTTCAAAGCAGTATTAGAAATTTTCTTGCGGATCTCTGTTCAGGATTCGTCTTTTTCGTTATAATAATATTAAATATCGTTTAAATATCTTTTACAAATGGTTTCTAGCTTCAACAATTATCAAAGATATTTTTCAAAAAATATAATAACCGAAAAAGAATGGGCATATTGTCACAAGCAAATAACTTATCAAGAGCTTGCAAAATTTAATTTATAGAATTATAAATTACATTCCTCGTGATCTGATTATCAAGATGAGAGCAACACTAAAAAATTATTTTATGAACTTTTTAAACAAAATAGTAAAGAAAATGAATATTTAGAATATTGTTGGTAATTTGAAATATCGAGATATCTAAAAAAAACTTTATTAACATTGATGTTTATAAAAACTATAATTTTAATATTTCTAATTTAATTAATTAATTTGCAAAAAAAATAAAATAAAACGTTAATTTTTAAAAATTTTTCAGCAAGTACTCAATCATAATTAAAATATAGTTAAAACTTTAAAGTAAATTTAATTTATTTATTTTATAGTATTTTATAGTTTATATTTTATAGTTTTCATGTGAATTTTTCAAATATTCCAAGAATGTAAAATATAACACGATTTTCAGTTTCGATACTATATATTGCTGAAGATGAAGATAGAATATTTCAAGGATTTGTATTTAACGAAGATTTTAAGAAATAATCAATTGATTATGTTGTAACAATAGAGAATAAATTTCATAAAAGATTAGAAATCATTATTCCAAATTACACCTTTATCTTAATAAAATCTATATTTTCATAGTTAGTCATTCTTTAATTAAACCAAAGTTTCAAGTACGATATATATTTTCCATATATTATTCAAAAATTGAAATATAGTTTATTAATTTCTCTACAATTTCATGCCAGTTTTATTCCTTCCTTTTACAATAATTTTTTTATTCCTCCTAAACAAAATGATATCCCAAATATATAAACATTTCTTCCACATTGAAAAAGTTTTATTCATAAACAGTTAACAAATTAAACCCAATTCTATTATTAGAAAATTAATTTCAATCGAGATTCATCACTAAAATTATTCAATCCAATTCTAATTCGAAACTAATCGAAATAAAACTATATAACGAATGATACTTACAATTTTTAGTGTCAGCATCATCGAGGTTAGGAAGTCCAAGAGCGTCAGCGATCAGGGCGAGCCGGAAACGGGCGCTAAGCAGTTCTCCATACTCGGATCGTTTCGACATCGACAGCATGATCCGATTCAGTCCAAACAGTCTGGCCTCCATCGTGAACGGTTCCCGGAGCAGCAGCGCGAGCGGCAGTTACGGCCATCTTTCCGCCGGTAAGCGATCATTTACACAGTATCATTATTACCCAACCTGTCTTTACGTATTGAATTATATCCCGACAAGATTTACCGCATAATTAATTAAACGTTGACTCGAAACGAGCGAAGAGAATCGGTATCGAACGGTATATACGGTGTTCGAGTCCAACACGTTGAACTTAACGCGGTGCAATTGTGAATAATTATTACCAGTTGCTAGCCCCGATTACTCATTTCTCGGTTGTAAATTTTGGATCCGTGTGAAAACACCTGTGCCTAATTATTCACCTCTCTGGACGAGAAGAAAAGGGGGTTACGTTAGAGGTAGAGACGTTACGAGCGATTTTACACGGATAAATAAGCGGGTGAATCGCAAGAGGCGGGGAAAGGAGCAATTAAGAGATCACCCGCGCAGGCATTACGGGGCCCCGAAAACGTAAGTCACCGAGTGTTTACTCGGCGTATTTTCACCATGGTAACGTTGATTGATCGCCCGTAATTACTGGCGCTGGTTCATCGTCGATCGGTGCCTCGGCGTGGCTATAAACGTTTCGCGAGGGGTATGTATATGCGACACGTGAATTATACGCTTGTAATTACACGTGTAGCCGGGCAGCGCTCGGTTGTTAATGCGCGACTACCGCGTGACAACCGTATTTTCCGAGTTATTGCCAACGTTCTCGGAGACATGGAGCTTTCAAAGAAGTCGAACTTTTGTACGCTATGTGTTGGTCTTGTTTCGCAGTTATCGAGGGGCAGTAGAATTTGAAAATTTAGTATTTTGTCATTCTCGATTTTGAATTCGTTTCTATGGTTAATCGAGGATGAATGATGGACGTTGGATCCTTTTAAGATTATATTTCTTTCCTTTTTTTCATTAGACACAGATTAATAATGGAAGTATATATTTTTTGATATTCTTGTAAAATTAGTAAGATCAGTAATCAATCACAAGTGTCAGTTTACATAAGTTTTAATAACGAGTTGTACGTATAATTAAAATTAAAGAAATCTTGATTTTAATGAATATAAGAATTCATATTTTGAAGATGTGAATTTTTTTAACGCAGACGTAATTTTAATTATTTATTCTTAATAGTAGTAATAATTAAAAATATAATTTATTTAATTTGTCAATTTAATACAATATTAATGTTTGTTACATAATAATTAGTATCATTGCAAGCTTAAATTTTAAATAAATTAAAAAATTTTTTCCAACTTCTAACCTCAAAATTATTAATATCTCACTCGTATACATACACTTGCATATATTAACACTTAATATACAATAACTACAATCAATCACTACAAATATTTCTTTTCAAGAGAAAATTTTATTTATCCCAATTGTTAAACGAACTATAAAATCTTCCCCAATCCCTAATCTCAAAATTATCAATAACCTCTCATCTCGCTACCTCATACACGTACACTTCACTTGCATCGTTTTCGAACAGGGTAACGATTCTCACGAATCACCTTATAATATTACGAAAGCATTATTGCCGGGTGCACATCATTTACTCATCGCGTGGAGCGATATAACATTCGTCGTAAAACGTTGAATCGTCGGTTTCTCAGGAAAAGCCGGGCTTCTGGTCGGCCCGAATTACCATAATTACCTATACGAAACGAATAAAGTCATTGGTGGTTTGCATTGAGGAGGGCCTCGTCCTCGCAAGGATCAGGTCCTGACGTTTAAGGGCGTGCAGAAGGGGGAATCGAAGAGGCAGGGCAGGGGCATCGAATTAAGGTGGCGGTGCGCATGAAGCCATTATACGGCCGGGTGCACGAGGAATCGCGGCTCGTCCCACAAATCGGGGCCCGGACCTCCTTGCTCGCGAGTTAAGGGCAGCCGGTAATTTGCGATTAAATGAAGTAATTAACGGATTAAAATTCAAGCGACGCGCGTCGTTTGTCAGCCTGGCGTCGTACGATGCCTCGCAGGGCGCTGTCGCTCGTTGAAATACGCCATCGCGCGCTACCGATCGGCGATTCCTTTCCTTTTTTCTTGGTGGCATTCTTTCAGAAAGGAGGTTCGCGGAGAAAAAAGGCGCGTTTATAAACGCGTTGAGTCGCGAGGAAGAAGTAAGAATTCGTGGAATTTGCCTTTTAGTGGGAATTTTTTCGCGTAATGGAGATCTGTGTTCAATCTTTTAATTGAATGTCGTTTTCATCTTAACGATATGGGAGAAGTTTTCAATCTTTTAATTGAATGTCGTTTTCATCTTAACGATATGGGATAAGTTTGTGTTAAATTTTAGTATGATTGATATTAAATTGTTTTTTTTTTTTTAATTAGAAAAAAGATATATTTATATAGTATATATGTATGTATATATTTATTTTTACTTATTTTCATAAAATGATCTTTTATTGGAAAGAAATTAGTTAAATTGTATTTGACAAATTTTTAAATTTAATTTTTTTTTTTGAAATGAAATTTCAAGAAATTCTTAAAAATGTTAAAAAATGTTATGCTTTTCGACAGATTCGTTTTTGCATGAATAGAATCATCTTGCCACTTCAGCAACAGTTATGAAATATTCCGTTCAAAGTTATTATATTTATTTTTGATAAAGTGTATTTTAATTTCGAATTTATAAATATATAGAATGATCTATAAATGATTTTATTCTTTAGATTACATTTATGTATAGTAATAATGAAGAGAATTTTTTTACTGCTTGAAAAATTGTATTCTTATTATATATTATGTATATTGTAATATATGTATTATATATTGTAATATAATTATAATAAATAAAAAAGATTCTCTTAAATTAATAGATTCTTTTAAAAGTTCTTTTAAATTATTAAGGATATAAGTAATATAAATATATATAATATAAAGTATAATTAAATAATTATAATTTTATAATATATTTATTATTTTATAATTTATAAATATAATATGTCAGTTTGATGTTTATGTTAAAATATTTATTGCTGCTTGCAAATACCTGTTCAATAATTCTTGTACTTTCACTTAATCCATCGTAGACATAGGCGTTTTGAGGAATTTTCACATTACATTATTCTAAAATTAGTTTTTAAAATTATTTTAGAAATAATTTATTTTTCAAAGGACGCGAATATTTCATGAAGCATTTCATGAAAATATATTTCAGGAAAATATATTTGCAATTAAATGATTTATTTAACATTTCACAAAATAAATTATTTATTACTTAATTTCGATAAAAATAACTACTTTCTTAAAATATTTATATTATTATCGCTTTTGATTAACACTATTACACGCTTATTACTATTACTATTATATATATTATTCAATATATATTCTAAAAATTATTTTAACAACGAATTTTTCATTAGGAAATAAATTATTTCCTAATAAATTAATAAATTATTTCCTAAAATAGTCAATTTATTAACCTCAAATTGATCGAATAAAGGAAATATCAATTGAAATATATATTAATAATAAAATATTAAATATAATAAAAAGCTTTATTAAAAATCATTATTTTTAAATTATTATTTAAAATGAATTTTGTCCAGATTTCTATTCAGATCATCTGAAATATTATTTTATAATCTAACCTCAATTGAAATACGTTACTTTATTATGAAATAATAACTAACTTCACTTATTATTTTCAAATTACCATTTGAAATATAAATTTCGCCTAGCTATCGCAATATTTACTTTAACTATTCGATTTTGCAAAATATATTATCAGATATAAAATGCATTCGAGCGTTTGAAAATCTATTCTATACGGAATAGCGTTACCAATTAACAGTCAATCGTCGATGCAACGGTGCCACAATGCGTGCTTAGGCGATCGGTCACGCCCATGATTGTCTACGTTTCTAGGCGGTTCTTCATAAAAGCGAGCACGTTGCGTGAACACGGACTCTTAACGATTATCGGTGGTTCGTTATAAAACGATGATGAACATTGGTGGATGTTTCTCAACTCGATGACATTAATCAAATGAGACTTTCAGAGGATTCATAGTTTTAAGAAACGCTGACCGATGGCCATTTCTTGAGAAACTGTGCGGTTATCGAGTTAAACGTATCATTTAGTAATTACGCAACAGGTTTCCAAAAAATTGTAAACGACCGTCGAACACGAGGATGAAACAAGAATTTAATATATTTCTTTGCATCGTAAATTAATCATTGACACATGCCAATAAAGTGGATAAGGAGAATTGATAATGGATATGCAGATTGATCATTATATTCTTAGAAATTTGTAAATTTATATCGATTTTGTGGAAAAAAAATGTTCCAATGATTCTTTTCGTTTTCTTATTATATACAAATTATATTATTTTGAAATTTTTATGTTTTTATTTCGTAAAAAATGGCTTGACTATATGCATTGTATATTATATTAAAATAAATATAATATTTAATCACTTATAAAATTTGTTATATTTATTTAATTCTTCGTGAAAAATATGAGTCATTATATTGTATAATATAATATAATATAATATTGTATAATATAAAGTAAAATTTTATATTTGAATCTCTTGGAAGGAATTCTTCTTGATTTTTAAATATGACTTTTAAATATTTCATTCAGAACGAATTATTATATAATGAAATAGGGCTTTTAATAATATTCTAAAATTTTTTCAAATTTTTTTCATTCTTAAAAAATATTTCTATCGAAAGATTAATATACACAGTGTTGTAATAAGAATGATTAACTGTTTTTTTCCTTCATCTTTCTGAAATTTTTATTATTCTATTAATCAAACTGACTTGATTTATTTGCAAAATATAAATATATAAAATCATTTAAATAATCATTTTGTAAAAAATTATCAAGTTCTTTAATTATTCCATCAGACATGTAATTAAGTAAAAAAAAACTCTATAATTTATAAATGTAAATTGTAAATTCTTTAAAAAGATTAATTCGTAAAATTATTGTGCAAGAAATAATGTTTGCAAAAAAAAAACACAAACGTTATTAAAATTTAAAAAAAAGAACTGGATAAATATCATTTGAAAAATAAACATTTCTCAAATCTTTAATCACCAAAAAATCGAGCTTGCAAATAAATTTTTCTGAAATAAACAATTCATTTCTTTTTTTTTCTTATAATCGATAAATCGAAAAATTACAAGATTACAAACAGACAGAAAAACAATTTGTTCTGATATTTCGTATGCCAAGTTTATGTCTCATTCTTGGATGTATATAAAAGAAAAAAAACTCACGTTTTACGTATGAGACTGTAAAATGTTCATCGAGTTGTATATCTTGGGGCGCATTGATCGCGTCACGATTCGAATGGACATAAAACCGGAGGAACGCACTGAGACGCACGCCTACGATGCTTTATTCAAGAACACTATAATTTTATCGAATTGATGGTAAATCGTAATGGTAACCGGTTGTCTACTCGTACACCGAACGATAATCGCTTAATCACCGATGATTCGTTCGATGTCGATGCCGATGATTGTGTGCAAAAAATTTCATAAAACGCGAATCCCGACGTCGTTGAATGGGAATGCGTTGGAAAATTTCTTCAATTTACGATCCGTTGCATTGTCGTTGGAGACATCGATACATTGAATACAGACGATTTTCTGATCGTCTGTGTTTTCTTTTGTATTCAACAAATTATTTTAAGTTCGAAGTTAAGAATGAACATTGTGTTGACGCAACATTTTTAACTTTCTTTTTTTTTGATTAATTTACGTTATTTAGTTCTGCTCCTTTCATTGCGATTATGAAAGGAAAATCTAAAAATTATTATATATCATATATTGTAAAATTTGTTTTGTATTCTTTTTATCTAGAATTTAATTTTTTATTAAATTAATGTTTTCCTTGATTCTGTTTTAAGAATTTTTACAGTTTTGTAAATCTTATGAATCATATCTATAAAATTCATTACTCTATTGCTTAGGAAATTTAATTTTTTCGAAATAAATTTTTCTTTTATCAATGAATAGAATATTATAGTAGCACGAAATACAATAAATTAATTAAGAATAGATTGAATCTAATTTTCAAAATGAGATATAACAATTGTAAAATCCGTATAAAAATTATTTTGCGACATAATTATCCTATTAGTTTCGAAAAAATTAAAGTATTAACTTTCAATTAAAATTGGCAAGATCGACCATTTTATATATAATTACTTTATTTTCTCATAATGAATCAAAATGTCGGAAAATTTAATGAAAAATTCGATCACGATTTAATATCGAAAATAGCTTCTGTTCGACACATGTTGATCATATGTAAATATTGGAAGATTTAATTTATAGAACAACGATATGGAGTCTGTCAATCGAAAGGTTCCGATTAGAAGGAAGCATGATCGTCAGGCCTGTCACGTAACGTACCGACATCGCCATATCGAATGACAACGCTAATTTAGCCAGTAGCAATTGAACGAACTCAATGGCAACTGTGTATCGTATCGTTAATATTTCATCGTGTATCGATTAAATCGCCACTTTATTCAATTATATCGTATATACGGCTTTAAAATTCGACAACATCGGATATGCAATTCAGATCATCGACGTTGCACGAGTAAATCAGATGATAAACTGGAAGATCGTAACATGGCAGATGCAGATGTTTGGTGCAGATGTCGTTGCGGTTTCTTGTCACTTCATCATTTATATTTCATGTTTATGGTGATTATGCAATGCACAAGAACTAACTATTCCGATATTATATGTTTAATATGAAAATTATGAAACACATAACTAAAAGTTTGAAAGATTAAATAAACTATTTAAAGTCAGAAATGTAATATTTTTATTAGCAATGGTAATCAAATTGTAAAATAAAAGAAAAAGCATCGAATTACAAAATTGTTATGAAACGTGTTTTCATAATTAAATTTTTATATTTCTTAATCTCTTATAAATGTACAATCTCGCTATTGGAAATGTGCAATAGGGAAAAATCAAACGAGCGATTTAAAGTGAAAGATATACAAGCTGTGCGTAAAAATTTTATAATTAATTTTATATTTCATCACTGGAAATGAGAACGTAATCCATCACACACCAGCGAAACTTCTATCGAATTAACGACCGACTGTCAAAATTTCCTCCACTCAAGATATCAATATTTGAAATTAATACTCGTGTATCAACGCGCCCCATCTGAAAATCGCAACGACACATCTCGACACAACGCATTTCTCTCATTTACACCAGCTTTAAAGCTATCAAATCGTACGATGCCTCATCGCTCATCTGTACCAACACAACCAACATAACCGACGAACTTCATTATATACCGCGAATCCCCGGGTAACGAGAAAAGATAATACTCAATTCCATTGGTACGCGACGTCCACCCGGTGTTTTATAAATGTCTCTCTTAAAGTACACGTTTATCGAACCGCGTGTCATGTCCTATCATTTTCCGTCCCCGTGTCGGGGAGAAGGAACGGCAAACAACGCAGGTAACACGGCCCACACGATCACACGTACACACAACCTTATGGTTTCGTAAGAGTGGCTCGCAGCATTGAAATGCAAGCTTGGCCTACGTGCCGGAAGTCCGGCGTGGCGTGTCCCGACTATCAAGAGAATGGACGCGGTCTCGATTTCGATCTCTCGATCGATTATCCCTCGGTGTATCGCCACCCTCGTCCACCGGGATTCGCGTTAATTGTTAAACCTAACAACGATATACGCGCAGGGATTGGCGTATATCGGCTCGTGAAATCAGTTCTGTTCGCACGAATAATTCCATGTTAACTTTTCCCCCCCTGTCGGCGTTGTAACGGTATCGGCTTTCGGCTTTCTACAACGGTCAGCTTGATTTCCTCGTAATTAATTATCGTGAAAGCGCGCTCCGGGCATAAGAGGAACGTATGCAACGTTTGATACGATAAGATACACGAGTCGGTTGGTTGGTGTTGCGTTCGGATTTTATTCGAGATGTTAATTGGGAGTGACGAGTTAAGTCGTCAAAAGGATTATTCGTGTTTCTTGATGTTGTTTCGTTAAGCTGGATGCTCATGGGCTTTATCGTTATCATATGCATTGTATGAATGTTTAAGTTAAAAATTCTTGAAATTAATTTTTTTTTATTTCTGATTGATTTTTATTTTTATTTATTATTTTTATTTATTATTTAAATTCTGTTTAGAAGTATTCTTGTTAGATTTTGATAAAAAATAAAAAAAAGAGGATAGAAAATATACGAGTAAAAATAAATCTTTTCTGAAATAAAATATTAATTTTATTTTATAAATACATGTTACTATTATTTTTTATATATTTTATCTCTTATGCACATGTTATTAATTTTTTAAATTATTTTTCTTACAGCAATGAGCCCAGCTTTGGGAATGCATCCGGGAATGGCGCCTCATTTGCAACAACTTCAGGCGCATCTTTTGAGGAGTGCAGCGGCCGCAGCGCTTCTACCCCATGCTCATCCCCTGCAACCCCCTGCACCACCTCCACCACCACCTCACCCACACCCTCATGCCCATGGATTATCGCCGCATTCGCAGTTGTACCCAGGCGTGCCACCCCATTCTACAGCCTCAGCAACCCTTGGACCTCACGGGGGAGGATTGCCGCCCAAAACTGAGGTAAGAAAAGAATTTTACGATTTTTAATATTAATCTCGATATTAATTAAATCAATTCTGATATTTTCCAGTTTTCAAATAAAATCGTAATCTTATTCACCTTATTCTTAAGAAAAATGAATTATTTAAATATAAATTAATTTTATCTAATATAATTTGAAATAAAAATAAATAACTTAGTTAGTAATTAATTACTGATATATTTCTCATATTTGAACAGTAATTATTTACTATTTTTAGAATAAAAAAAATTATTCAAATTAACCAAATTCCTTAGATTTATATAAATAAAGCATAATTCTAATATCTTTTAAGAATACTATAATAATCTAAATATAATCTTAATTATTTTAGAAATTATGAATTTTTACAATTATTATTATCCTATAATTTACGAGAATAAATAATTCTTATCAATATTTGATCAATACATTTTTCATATTACTTTAATCTTTAAAAAAAAAATCATATCTATTCCCATATAAAATGATTCAATATCTCAGGCTCATGTAATTGTCAGGTCATCATCAAACAACATAGGTGTTTGTTCAATTATTCTTATACAAAAACAATTCCTATAAAACTAATCGACTATTTCGACTTCTTCTGAGGGAAGCCCACTGTCCAAGTGACGCTCGTAGGGCCCTCGAGGGATCTCGAAGACTTCTCAGCTTCATCCTCGCGGCACGCAAGGGAGGGAGCAAAGGGGGAGAAAGAGAAAAAGATTGGGTTACCCTCGCATGGTCCTCGGGTTACAAGCAATCTCGCGCACATTATTTCGCCAGATTCCACCCCCGTCCACCTGACCATCGTCCTTTATCTTCTTCCTCCTCCTCTTCCCCTTCTCCCTCTTCTCCACCTCCCTCTCCACTCCTAGGATTCTCCTCTTCTTCTCGATAATCGCGGTCCACGTGTATCACGAGCCTCTTTGTTAGACTCTCTGTTCCATTATGGCGGCCTCCTCGAATCTAAGTTTCTAGCCGGCATTCTGTTTCTCCTGTTTGCTCCGATTTATTTACATCCGTGGCGGCATTTTCATTTTCTACACGACACGCCGCGTGTCCGCACGCTGTAAACTTTCATGATCCTGATTGCATCGACTCGCGTTTCTCTCTCGTTCCGACGCTGCGCTCCGGGTTCTCACACAGAGAGGTGATCGATGGATTTATAGGCGCCTCGTAATCGAGAGCTTCTTCCCCCTTATTTCGCGCAGATTAAGTCTGATGGATGGCCTGGAAACGCCACTTTCAGAAACGTGAGTCCTCGTTTCGCGATATCTTTATGCTTTATGTTAGATATAAAATAAATCTATTTTATAGTCGAGTGTTATATTGGATACGAAAATTTGTTATTTTAGATATAAATATTGGTACACTCTTGAATAACGCAATAGACAAATTTTGAGTTATATTTAAGTCTTTATGGCATTTTGACAAGAAGGAAATTTCATTTTTAAATAGTGGAATATGTATATTCATCTTTAATCTTTTTTTGAATATCGAATAAAATCAACTTTTTTTTACAAGAATTAACGAAAAAGGAAATAGTTTGCGATCTCGAATTGGATTAATAAATAAAAAGTTGAGTAAAAATTTATCCTGAAACTGTGATAGCAAAAATGCAATAAGAAATTTTTAATAACAAATATGCGATAAATATTGAATTTGAATATATTGAAATATAAATATGGATGAATATAGAGATTTCGTTGTATATTAATTTTAATATGATATGCCATTCAAATGAAATATAATAAACTTTTAGACTAGAATTAAAAAATAGATTTTTGATAAATGATTTAAAAAATTAAATAATTAATTAAATTAATAATAATAATTAAATTAAATAAGTGATTAAAAAATTGTATTAAATAGTGAAACGATATCAAAATTAAAATGTAAAAATTTAAAATTCAAATTTTAGAAAATCGATATTTATTGCTTTTATTCCGATTTTCTATTTTCTCATTTTAATCTTTACACTGAGTTTCTTATCCTGTATATAGATGAAAGATTGTTGGTTTAACATGAGCTACTGCTGCTACTGTTTACTATAAACACATATGTTTTATTGTATTCATCGATGTGGATGCGATAAATTTCTCGATTGGACAACTTAATTGAAGAAAATTCCAGTAAAGCATTCACGCGTTTCTCGGCCCACAAGCAATATAGCAACGATGGCGTATCGAAAGTTCCTTGAAAGTGTTAATGATCTCTATCTACGTTCTAATATATCTTCCTTGGGCTACCAGAAAGTGCTAAAAGTTTTCTCCCGAAACGTTTGCCTAATACCTTCCTAACCTTGAAACTAGTTTCATCCGAATCTTTCCTGTTAATTTTGATATTGCCGATTGTCAAATTGAAAAAAACTTGCAGAATTCCATAGATCCATCGTCAGAATATCGCACAGTAATAGAAAAATATTAGGTTAAAAAGGATGTTCTTGCGGTTTTTAACTATTAAATTTAAATGCACATATCTTAGCTCAAACAAAACTTTATTAATCAAAAAGACCATTGCAATCAATGCACTTTTGCCAATGATTTTACCAAACAAGTTTTGTTATTCCAGTCCGAATAAAATTCTGGAGTCCTGGAATTGGAATAGGAAAATTATTCGAATTTTTCTTTTTATTCATTATGTTTTCAACAGAAAAATGAGAAATCAGAAAAACTAATTTGAAGATAAAATTAATATCACATTTTCACAGAGCGAAAAATGCACTTTAAAATTATATTAGTAATGCAGTTTAACATCAACTTAATCAAAAATAGAGCATTTAAAATCAAAATAACAAAAATCAAAAGAACTTTCTTTCCAATCTAATATTAAGATTAAGAATAAAAATTAGAAATTAACTTTTGCCTTTTAAATTATATCTATTTTAAGATTTATTTATTAGATTCATATTATCGATTTATATTTTTTTATGATTTATAATACATAATTCAACTTAAAATTTTTAAGACAGTTCATGTTTGCTTTAAAATAGGCAAAAATTACAATGAAAAATAGAAAGGAATATCATTAAACTTGATATCTCATATCTATAATCCACCAAAAAAAAAAAAAAATATTAAAATATAATAATTTTATAAATATAAAAAATAAATATTAAAAATTATATATATTATATATATTATAAAAATTAAATATTAAAATTCTAATAATTTTCCAAACACAATTAACAACATTCTAAAATATATATATACTACATTCTAAAATATATATACCTGCAATATGTTGAAAAAAGAGATTCTAACAATATTTTCTCAAAATTCCTTCATATCGTTTCAAACATCCTGCAACAAAACTTCTTTCATGCCAATTCAAACACCCTCTTGTTCCCTTTACATTATTAAATCCTCGAACCACTGTTCAACCGTCCTTTCCATTTCGCTTCCAATTTAACGCGAGGTACAAACCGCAACGTGGGCGGAGATATTCAGAACTACGTCTGTATCATAACGCAGAGGCGCAACCACCGGTTTACCAGGGCAAGCAAATCGATCGATCGGCAATGTTGGTACGTGATAATTGCGAGATCGCGTGCAGATCGTGTGTCACGAGGCGCTTCCAGCACCGATATCTCTTGAAAGCCGTTTCAGAAAATCGTTGGTCTAGTGTCAAAGATCGCCGGATACCTACCTTCTGAATTCCTCGGGCGATCTAATTAGCATCGGTTATCGGTGGCTACCGACTCGATCGTAATTGCTCGCACGGTGTGAATTGGGCCTTGATATATGTACACGGGGCGTGATTAATCTTTTTTACCCCGTGACGCGAGAAATTATAGTGAATTTTACTCGATTTAACATTGGCGTGTAATTGTCGTGTTAAAAGTGAGAAACGTGTGTTTAACATTGGACGAAATCCAAGCAAATTAGATTGACGCGGAATTATATTTAATCATTCGTGCGATTTTGTATCGCTAATTAAATCTAATTTTGTTTCTGATTAAATATCGATTTGAATTAAATTCTTCATATTTTTTGGATTTACGTTTAGATGCAGTATACTTTTATTTATTTATATTTTTCGAAGTACTTTATATATTTATATAAGATATAATACATAATATATTTAAATAGATGTAAATTAAATAAATATAATCATTTAATTGGATTAAAAATATCGATATAATAATGTTATTAATATGAACAATTGTTTATTCATTTTCATCATTTTTAAATCGTGTTTCCTTTATTCCTTGACATGCACCGAATTCTCCGCACGATTTTTTCGTGTACCCATCTATCACGTAAAAACGGAATTGGTCGATTTCTGAAAGTGGATAATGGAAAGAGGGATTGGTAATCATCTGTTATTATCGCGATTGCAGAGCGCTGAATCGTGCAGAAAAGCGTCGGAATCGACGACCAGGTCGGTGACGGCCGAGGCGGATACATCTTCGAGGAGAACTTCGACCAAGGTGAAAAGGGAACCTGCGACGACCACGACGAACGCCACGACGACCACTGCGCCACCGACCCATCCCCAAGGGCTCAGCCCCAGCGAAGATCTCCGAGACGAGCCAGGTGACTTTATCGAGACGAATTGTCACTGGAGAGATTGTGGTCTTGAATTTCCAACTCAGGTTAGAATTTCAAATTTTTATATCGTTCTTTAATTTATAGCATTTAATTACATTTCACAATTATTTTTAATCTGAATCACAATTTTTATTCCTATTGATTTATATTGAATTACTTTTAATATCTATTTATAATTCAATTATATTTTCATATTTTTATAAATATTAATTCATCTTTCATCTTTAATCAATATATTAAATATTTTATAAATAAAAATAAGAAAGAAATGTTATTAAATTTGTTTATAAAAATTCAAAATAAAAGAAACAAATATTAAATGGTTGCAAGAGAATACTAAATATTATTTATTTCAAAATAAAAATTTAAATATTTTAAGAGATTCTTGTAAATATTTTATCTTAAATTTTATAAAATTTATCTTATATAAGAAATTTTATTATGCGATTATATTCTCTTCGTCTTTCATATGATGTTTTACAAAATATCTCTTACTAATTTTTCGACATAATAATACTTTTTTATAAAAAATAACGAACTGTATTAATTAAACAATTTTTTATAAAAATATTCTTTCTTAGAGATATTTTATCGTACATAAATAAAACTAACATTCTGTACATACGAAATTAAATTATAACTTATATATTATAAAATCTAAAAAACATGATTGTATCTATTTATAGGATGATTTAGTGAAACACATTAACAATGATCACATACATGCAAACAAAAAGAGTTTCGTTTGTGGCTGGGAGGAATGTTCAAGAGAGGAAAAACCATTCAAGGCACAATATATGTTGGTAGTGCATATGAGAAGACACACTGGAGAAAAACCTCATAAGTGTACAGTGAGTATATTAAACTTTAAACTTAAAATCTGTAATGTACGAGTTAAACGAATTTAATATCGATATTATAAATTTTGAAATTGCAGTTCGAAGGATGTTTCAAGGCATATTCTCGTTTGGAAAATCTAAAGACGCATCTCAGATCCCACACTGGAGAAAAACCATACACTTGTGAATATCCTGGTTGCAGCAAAGCGTTTAGTAACGCCAGTGATCGTGCCAAACATCAAAATAGAACTCATTCCAACGAGGTATATAATTATTAAATATAAAAAATTAAATCTAAATCCCTTGAAAATTCAATAACAGTCATTTTTCTATCTATTATATGATAATATTCAAAAACGAAGATTTTTTATAATTATAAAATATAATTTATTTATAATTCTATAATTAATTTCTGATAAAAATGAATTTTATATAATTTCATTATATATAAATAAACTTCTTTAAATAGTCTTTTAGTGTGATTATAGTATAGTCAAAACATTCCTATTTAACATTAACATTAATTATATTTAAACATGATTTGCAGAAACCATATGTCTGTAAAGCTCCAGGCTGCACGAAGAGGTATACCGATCCATCATCCCTGAGGAAACACGTAAAGACTGTACATGGTGCAGAATTCTACGCCAATAAAAAGCATAAAGGAGGCGGTGGAGATGGCGGAGGAAGTGACGAAGCAGGTGCAGGTGGTCACAGTCCTAGCAGAAGCGAGGATCTTCATCCGAAGACGCCTAGTTTGTCTAGCCCTAGCGTAAAATCTGAAAGCGAAGCTAACAGTCCACCTAGCATGATGCAACAGCAAGGTAGCCCATTGGTTGGTGGTTGCAACGATGAAGTTGCTGGTGTAGGTACATTAACTGGCGATGGCGTGGCTTTGGCCGAGGAACCTTGGAATGAGGAACCTGATGATTTGGACATTGCCGATCTGCCAGTTGCTCTTCGTGCCATGGTAGGTTTCATACGGTAGGACATTTGATTTATCGATACATTATCGACATAAAATATTGAAACATGACAATTATTTTCCCTCAAAAAATATAATAAAGGAATCATCTTAAAAAAATTAATAATAAATAATATCCAGAAAAATTAATATCATAAGTATAATACTTATAAAAATAAATAAACATATAAATCATTATAAATTATATTAATATCTACAATATAAAATATAAAATATATTAATATCTACAACAAAAAAATTATATTAAATTATATTAAATTGTCTATTTCTAATTCCATAGGTTGGAGGAATGGAGTCGCAACAGCAGCAACAACCTCCTCCTCCCGCCTCAAGAAATCGTTTGAAAGGCAGATTGAATGCTAAAGGCATGCCAAACCTGCCTGTCAGCGTATCCAGTATGAGAGGTACACGTGGTATGGGTCCTCAAGGCAATATTGGCGATTTGAACAGGAGGATTACTGACTTGAAGATGGAGGGTGGTGGTTCTGCTCGTCAAACGAGCCTATCCGATCTACAACTCAGGTTACAACCTCTGAGCGAGCCACGAAGGGACAGCAACAGTACAGTGAGCACTTATTACGGTAGTATGAAATCCACGGATTTCGGTAGCAGAAGAAGTAGCCAAGCTAGTGGGGTCAGTGCTGTTAGAATGGGTCAGACTGGACCTGGCAGCTTCTACGATCCAATTAGTCCTGGAACTTCAAGAAGAAGTAGTCAGATGAGCACCACTTCTGGTAGAATGAATCCACCCAATCTTCAAGGACCTTACTCTACGAGCAATCTTGTTGTTCAAACGCAGAACATGTCTCTCCAAGTTAGTAGATAGATATTCTGTTCCATTTTTTTTTGTTGATTATAATGTTTATTAATAACGCAAAATATTTAACATCTGATGAATTTAGGGAATCCAGGGTATGCCAGGAGATTGGAACGGTCCAAGTGGTCATTGCACTCAACCATCCGGTGATCGTCGTATGTCAGAACCTACAAGAGGTCATCAGACCCAAAGAAATTCACCGCCTGTACCACCTAGGCCAAGATCAGCTCAACTTCCAGAGCATCATCCTAATCAAGAGGTTATTCTGGATGAGGTTGGAGAAGGCGAAATGGTGGAGAATAAATTGGTAATTCCTGATGAAATGATGCAGTATTTGAATCAAGTATGTTTTTTTTTCTCACAGATTTTGTCAATCGATTTTCATGAATATTAAAATTTATTAATTTGTTCCTTTTTTCTTTAGGTTCAAGCAGGCGGAACTCAAGTCAATTGTCGCAGTCCTCTACCTATTTGTCAATCACCAATTTGCACCAATCCTTTGCATTATCAACGTCAAATACAGCCTACATGCAACTACAACCAATCTCATCAGCAAACTTGTTATCCACCATCACAATCTGCTCAACCTTGCACAAATTATCAAAATACCTCGCCATCACCTTATAATCAATGCCCTAGTTCTCGACCTCCTCAATCTAATTCGCAATACTGTCCTCCACCAACTTATCCATCGCAACCAAATGGTGGACAAGTCCTTAGCCCAGCAGCAGGTCAAGTCATGTCACCAGGATCTCATTACTCTCCCAGTCACATTAGCGACCAACCTCTAACATCACCAGCAGCTGGTGCTTTAGCACCTCAACACCCTCCACAAAATCTTCCACAAAATTCTGCTCAACTAACCAGGAACTGTCCTCAGAACCATATGCATCATGGCTATTATCCCAATTATAATTGCCAAGGACAGATAAACGCAAACTGTACTGGAAATCCGAATGGCCAAGTGAACCATCATACGAATTCCGCATGTGCTCCATCCAATCACAGCGCTATCACCCAACAACAATGCGTGCAGATGCGTTCAGCTGGCAATTGTCAGCAATTATCTTCGCATTGTACCCAACAACCAGTTATACCCAATCAGACAACCATGAGCCATCCTAATACACAGTGTGGTCAAGTTGCCAATCAATGTACCAGGCCAATAGTAACACCCAATGGTCAGATGCCTAATTTACACCCTGTCCAACAGACCACAGTGTCTAACCAATGCGCTCAGATGTCGCCGCATTGTTCTCAATTAAATATGAACAATCAGGCCAAACCAATTGCCAACATGACCAATCTCCAGGGTTGTCAACAACAGGTTCAACAACCAACTACTCCTTGTCTACAAATGGCCAATTGTGCTCATCCCAACAGCGGTCATCGACCAATTACAGACAATACTCTATCGAAGAGAACGTCACCACAGTTGTGCTCTGCTCAACAAACCAATTGCAGGATGCAACAGCAGCAACATACCTGTACGCATAATTGTCAAGCTCGAACTAATAATCCACCGAATCACCAATATAATTGTAATTGTCAATGGGGTTACGATCAGTGTTATCACGAGCAAACCGGTTCTGCTATGCCAGAAATTCAATGTAGAGACATCAGTCAATCTCAGCAAGGATCTCCCATAAAGCCTCCTCAAGGAATGAGACAGGATTCGTACAGAAGGACATTGGAATATGTGCAACAATGCAGAAATTGGTCTGGAAACGCTCAGACTCATGAGACAAACGTTTCTAGTTCCACTCATCCGATGTCGTTGCCGCAACCATTGCCATCTAGCGCCAATATGGTAGTGAACGACATGACCTCGTCTCTGAGCTCGTTGCTCGAGGAGAATAGATACTTACAGATGATTCAATGAATCTAAATCATGATATAAATATAGAAATATATATGTAGATATATTTTCTATATATAAATATATATAAATAGATATATTTTCTATTGCAACTTTTTTTATACTATCGTTTAATAAGCGCGAGGAATACATCGATTCAAACTTTTGTATTTTTGATAAAGACTAGAGAATTTCTTCTGTCCCTTCGTTTTTCGAAGAAATGAAATGTATTTTGTATTTGTTGAGCACCAATCGGCAATAGGTCACTTAAATTAATTACTATATATTATATAATCGTAGATTATAAATTTATGAATGGATGATATTCTCGGTGATTAATTAACGATTAATTAATATCAATCAAAGTGATTACAAGAAAGTTCAAATATGTTTTTTTTTTTTTTTGTTAATGTCGTTTGTAGTTTTTTTGTACAAAATTCACTTCACAAGTGCCTTATGGACGAATTAAGCTAAACGTATGAATGTGCAAAATTTTATTAATTTATTATTTTTGGATAATCATATTTAACATGTTTATCGTCTAAAATTCTTTGAAGCGAAATTTTTAAGAAATTATAGATTTATAAGACTAGTGAAAGCACTACGCTTACGCGCGAGATCTTGTTTGAATCGAGAGCTTGTTTGGACAGCACAATAAAAATAATAAAAATAATATACATATATTGCGTGAGAAATTGCGAGATATTTTTCGATATCTTTGTATAGTATTTTTATATCACCTTTTCAAAACGTGCCAACACATGTTTTTATCAAATCATCCTAATTATATCTCTTAATTTTACGACGAGTGGTGTACCAACGTGATACAACGATGTAATACTTAATATCTAAATATTACACTAAATATTTTTTGTACATGGTGACGCAATTTGCTATGAATAAGATTAAAGATTAAAAGCAAAACGTAGACGGCCAATATTAGGATATAAACTCTGTAGATAAATCATAGTGATGTAAGAGATTATTAATTAATGCTCATGGACGATGTGCATGATAATTATCATTTCGTGAGAACGTATCAAATATGTGTGTGTATGTGTACGTATTCTTGCGTATGTGTGACTTTCATAATTAAATTGGGGATGTTTGTGCAAATTTATATTTTTTACAAAAATAATTAAAGAAAATCTAGAAAGAAATGTATCATTACTTAGTGCCTTGATTTCGTTATTTTGTATATTTTTGCATATCGTATATATTTTATAAATTTTTGTATAAACATCCTCAATTTATTCATTAAAATCATTGTAAAGAAAATAAATCGTAAGATAGTTGAGAAAGCATTTTTAGATTATTACATGTTCGGTTTGATCGACCGAAACGATCTTAGAGTCTCTTTAATTTTTATAAAATATCGTGTGCCTTTCGTAATCGTCATTTATCGTTGGACGATAAAAAAAGTTGACAAGTGCGTAGAGAAGTCTTAAAAAACTTAGCGTACCTAATGCTGTTTCACAATTTCCTTTTTTTTTTTCTGTTATACAAACGATTTTGTACGAATTTTATTATATCCACGAAGTGCGAGGAGCATTGTGAATATTATACATATCTATCATATACATATAGCGTAGTGATTCAAATATGCGAATGGAAAGAGTAAGTTTTAGACCCTGAAAATTGTTAATTATTTTAAAATAAATCATATCGATCCCATCAACGATACATTCTCGTCTCATTCGAATTCTTTTGAAACTCTTACCTGTCCTTTATAGTTGATTGTACACGTTTAATTGTTGGTTTTTTAATAAATTCTTTATTTATACAGCGAAATTAGTAGGTACAATTCGTATAAGGTACAAAACAGGAACGGATTCGAGAGTGATCACATACAAATTCTCGGTTAGGAACAACGAGATGTTACTTACATCGATAAAATGACGACACATTGATAATAAAAAAAGATTCGTGCTTGAAAAAAATAAAGACCAAAAAAAAAAGGATACTTAATAGAAATATTCGATAGCTTTGAATCAATGATATGTTCCAAAGTCTTTCTTAAAATTACAAAAATTTAATCATTCAATTATTTGATTATATTAAACATTACAACACATTTAATTCATACGTTTTTTTTTTAATTTCAGTTTAAGAATAGATTATTTTTAATCTATTTCTTGGATTCTGAGGATAAAAATTTGAGAAATTGATCGAGTCATCTCAAATTATATAATTCCTCTTTGGGAGCCAACACGTTTCTCGAGAGACGAAACACGAGCGAGGGAGCGTGTTTTTCACGTTTCCGTGTTCGACGGAAATAAACGCGACGTAATCGTGTAATTAAAAAAGTGTAGGCGTCTCAAGGCGCGTTATCGGATGATGGTTCGTTGGAATCGCCACTCGAGACGGGTTTCTCGGTATTTTTAGTATCCTCAGTGGTCGATGATTCAGGTACCTGAACAATAATACGATCAAGACGCGTCAGTTTTTAATTTAATCGTTAAATTATAAATATATACAGTTAATAAACTTTATATTATTATTATGTTACATATAATACATATATATAATATATAAATAATATTATATGTAATATAATATTACATATATAAATAAGTAATTGATAAGTAATATTAATAAATACATATATTTATTAAATCAATCATTACCTAGGTTCTCTTTGCATAATTATATTAATAATATTATTATTAAAATTTTACGAATCACTAAAAAAATAATCGCTAAAAATTTTTTTTGACAAATAGATATAAATTTGGCGATATAATTTACTTTATAACTTACAACACAATTTACAACTTAACTTAATAAAAATTATTGGCTCATAATATATTTATTTAATTTTACAATATTTAATGTTTAATACATATATCGTATTATAAAATTAAATAATTATATTGTTCTATGACTATTTTTAATTATTTAAAAATTTTAGTAAAGAAACAAATAAAAATACTATTTCTCGAGTAATAAATTTCAAATAATGAATAATACTATGACTTGGTCATTTTTAATAGAACAATATACAAAAGCACATGAAGCAAAACCATGAATTATCATCGCGTGAATACGAAGACTAGGAAGCGTGCCAAATACTTGGAAACTAAAAATTCAATTAAAAATTTTTTTATGAATAAAATATCCTTACCTGACGAGGTAGATCTGACAATGTGGTCCTTAATCTTCTACTGGGCAGAACATCAGGCATAGGAGGAGGTACTGGTGGTTCCCCATAGACCTCGTGAAGCTCTTCAAGTCTAGTGCTCAACGCAGACCCTCTCCTATTGGTCGCGTTCATCTTGTTCATCAACCATTTAGCCTGTTCCTCCAATCTTTTCAACCTGTCCTCCCTAGCTGATAAAACCTCTTCCGGTGTCCTATTCTTTCCACCAACAACTTTCTTCTCCTCCTGTTTCACTGACCCACCAGCCTCCAAACTGGCGACTCCTTTGCCAGTTTCACCTGGCAAACACGAGGAACCAGATTCCCCCGCAGTGGAGAACTCTTTGACCGTTTCCAAACTCGATAATGAATCCACTGACACGTCATCCGAGTCAACGACGTTGTCTAACGACCTAGCGCCTCGCTTTTCCTTGGCTTCCATCTCTTCGCTCGCTGACGAATTGAAAGACGATGATATTCGTACGTTTGACAAAGACGAGCCAAAAACTGGAGAAAAAAATGGATTAGATGGACCGACGATCAGTGGATCGCTAAATTGAACGTTTTTCACGATCGAAGGTGACACGCTGGAAGGAAAGGGCCCGATAGAGAAGACAGGCTGCATACTGGCTGGACTAGTCACATTGGTTACATAGGACGATATCAAGGATTCTTCGTTCTTTGTTTTCTCACCATCCGTGTTCGTTGGATTTCGAGCATCGATTGCGATCAATGGCTGATTATCTAACGAGGTATCGAGGATAAGATCATCTTTGGCAATGGTTTCTGAAGACGACGTAGACCAAGATTCTATAGTTGGCCCCTTGATGTCTAGTTCTTCCGAACGACCTTCTTTGGGCATGTCTTTTACCATTTCGTCATTTGGACTCGCAAAGTTTGCCGAGGTTATGCTTTCTATTCCTATGAGATCCTGGATGACGTTTGTTAAAGCTTGATCTAGAGGATTTAACGGTTCCTGTGGACTTTCCATCAACTGCTACGAAAAAAGAATCTTAAGGAATATAATTGTTAGGTTTTAAAAATAAATATGATAGTTTTTAACTTACCGGTGATTCTGTTGCGTTTATAGATTCAATGTTTAAACTTGCGTCTGCTACTTCGTTGTCATCTAACTCTGCTTCCGTTTCTGGAGTAGGTGTTCGCTGTTCTAACGTTGTCAAGGAACCTGTCTTCGGCTCGGATAGTTCCGTGTCGGTTGGCTGCTCTGATTCTGTATCTGGCGTCGGTGCTCGAGGACTCTCCTAAAGAATACATGTTTTTATTACATGAAAAAAAGCAAGATTTTAATAAATATCGAATTATATCACTTGATTGATTTCTTTTAACCTTTCGCGGTCTTCTACGTGGACCTAGCCTAATTCTTCCTTCCACAGCGTTGTCCTCTTCGTCGGTATCGTCTCCTCGTTCATCACTGAATCCACTTTCCGCACTGTAATAAAGAATGAACGGTAATAATTCAAAAATATTTTACAAATGTTATATCTTACCTGTTGTTGAAGGAATCATGAGAAGCTAAAGCTTTCCTAGCAGCAAACTCTCGCCTCAAGCTTCTCCATTCCAACTCCGTGTTTGTGTTTTTCTGTCTAGCCGATTCCCATTTCTCACGACAGTATTCCAACTCCTGCTTCAACTCTTGCAACATTTTACGCTTTTGCTGCAATTCGTATCGCAAAATTTTCTCATGTGTGTGAAGTTGATGGTGTTGGACCTGCATTCGATCGACTATCGTCCAAGTTTTGCTTAATTCCGCCGACACTGCTGATAATCTCTTCTCCTAACATACAGATTTAATTTACGAAATTTTTATGAAAAATAATAATATTTTATAGATAGAGAAAGATTATTATTTCTAACCTGCTCTCCGAGTTTGCATTCCAAATGGACGTTCAACTGCTTCATTCGGTTCATCTCCTTCTCCAAATGTTTCTTCTCTAATATCAATTCCTTCAGACGAATATACGTTTTGCTGACTGAAATCACCAATCTAGGACCAGTCGGGGTATCGACAGATTTGTAGCAGATGTTGGGGTCCGAGGAAGATGCCGCGGAAACGGATGAAGCACCTTCCGCGTGACAACTCAGCAATTCCAACAGAACACGCCATACCTGATACAAAGTATCTTTATAAATTTTTTGAATCAGAAAAATTAAAATAATGATATAAAATAAATCTTTGAGAGTTACTTTGGGCAAGTTATGGGCTATGTCTTCCTGCTGCAAGTCGTCTTCTTTCTTCTCTGCTTCACCTTCAATTCCGTTTTCACCGTCAGCACGTTTCTCAGATGCTTTACTGCCCTCGACTTGCTCGATTAAGTCGAGAAGAAGTTTTGGAAGTGCTGCGGCCTCGGTGCCTTCCTCTCTCGCCATGTCGCATATCAGATCGTGATTCTCCTGTTCGAATATTGAAAATTTTCGTAATTATTCTGAGAAGAAATATGTTAAAAAATATAATGCAAATAACTTGTTAAGATATTATCATACATCTTTATGAATCACTGTTGACAAAAGAATTTCAAATTTAAATCAACAATTAATGAATAATTGTCATACCTGAAGTAACTGAGTCAATCGATCAAGATCCATGTCAGCAGAGGTGGCACCTAACAGCATTTGCGTGAACAAGCTATTAATTAGTGACATCTGATTTTGGAGATCCCTACAATCCGCCTTAGTGAGACCCAATTGGGATTCCAAATTTGTTATCTCCGTATCTTGTGCATCGATCTGTCTCCCCCCCAAAAAAATACATCTCGAATATAAAAATAAATATTTTACAATGAAACTCCGTTTATATGAACATCATCCATAAAATTTAATAATATCTTTTTCATTAATAAAATAAAATACTATCTTTTACATATAACAAGTAAAGAATCGATTCATTAAATAAGTAATAGAAATTAAAATTAAATTGGCATAAATTTAAATAAATAAATATTAAACGAAAAATTATAATTAATAATTAAAATTAGATAAAATAAAATTAGATTCTATTATTTCCTAATTATATAAATCTATTTGTCCCTTGAATAAATAAATTTATAGAAACGGAGCTTTACTCTATATCAGGAAAACACTTTTTTTTTAATACCTTCTCGTCAGCCTTCTTTAAGTCCTCCTCCAGACAGTCGCATTGTTTCATCGAGTGATCTAATCTCACCCTGGTCTCCGCGAGCTCCCTGATGGCCGTCTCCTTCAGTTCGTTCAGCACTTTCAGTCTCTCGTTGTAGAGGCTCTTCAGGCTATTGATATTCTCTAGCTGACGTTCGCACTCCAGGCCAACGTCGTCCTTCAACTCCAAGAAGCTTCTGTCTCCCAGTTGGAGAAGAATCTGCGCTAGGTGGTCCTTCAGCTCGTTGGCACGGCGTTCCCTGAGGTAAACGGCTTCTCGCGTCCGATTGGTTAAGTCTGACAAACAACGGATGCGATACCGGTGCTGATCGGATTCTGTTTCCAGC